ACAAAAATTATGATAGAATTTAACCAACCAAATCGTCGAATACATCATCAATATTTTTGTGACCTCACCAGCATTCCTAAGACGCTTTGACTATCATTTACATCAACACCCAAACCCCGCGAAGCCACTGCCAAATATCCGGATTCCTCGTCTAGCTGACCAAACTGTATTTTTTGTAAACAGTCCAATTGTTTTTGAAGAAAAACGGTGTCGGATTTTTGTTTTGTGCCACTTTGCTCGTGCCTCATAGTTTCTGTGAGATAGGCGTATGAATAACTACATTCCCGATTTGTCTTTCTGCAAGTTCCACATTCGGGTCGTTCTTTATCACATTTCACCTTACGAGTTTTACAAGTATCGCAAGTTGAAATGAGCTTAACTCGTTTTGGATTTACCAAGGGCTGAAGATAGGTGGTAGTCATTTGATTCTGAAGTTAAATGGCGTTAATTATCGTAAGGAAGCTTTATATATAAAAATACCTAGTCATGTGGTATTATGTTACACGTATATTCGAATGAGTCGCGTACCGGGCTCCTCAGTTCGATTCATAGGTAAGGATGTTTGATACGGTTTCCACAAAACAATGGAAGTATCCCTCCAAAATTGAGTTGTGTTTTTGCTTTGTCACACCAGTTTAAGGCACGGACTGTTTCTCTAAAGATTCGATTGCCTGTGATAAGTGCAATCAATAGCAGAAAATCGAACGATTCAACGATTCAACGATTCAAATCGTGTTTAGAATAATTTAATTTAAGTCAATCGAATTCAATTTATTTAATTCATTTAATAATTCATGGACTTTAATCGTTGAGTTTGCCATTCCAATAAATAATTTTTTTAGAATCATGCTGATTGGTTATAATTAATCATCGAGATCGCTTAATTGTTTATCTATCAGATGGGTTGGTACACAGCAAAACCATGCTTTGAAAGGTTTTAACAAAAATTGAAATTTTTAGTGGATTATACTCCCAAGAACGTCCTTTATCTGTGATAAAAGTTTGGATATATATTAATATATTATAATTTGGTACAGTCTCGCGCGCAGTTTTTTAATTTTATATGGCTCGATATATAAATTTAAATTGATAATCGTCGATATCTCCAAATAAGGATTTTATCTTAGAGCATGGTTTTGCTATATACCAACCCAGATAAAAAAATTTTTACTTTAATTTATACAAAAAATTATTATTTTAAAGATTTTTTTGAAAAAAAAAAAAACTTTTGACTTTGGCAAATATATCAAATTTATATAATTTTTTTTTTTTTTTAAAAAAAACCATAATTATTATATTTCTTACTTATTATAATTTTATACTTGTTTATTATAATTATTAAATTAATATTTATCTTTTTTTGTTAGAATAAAATTTAAAAAAAATTTATTTTAACAAATATCAAGAATTTAAAAATATTTAATCAATCTTTAAAAAGTTATTTTAAATTAATAAAAATCAAAATAAACAATTTATAATGAAATTTAAAAAAAACTAATATTATTATTATTATTATTATTTGAAAAGAGCAAATGGCTATCACGCTTTATTATATTTATTATACTTTCACTTACAAGGTAAGGTACAATAATCAATAGCACAACATATATCTCTCTTTGCTAGAAAGAGTTTAACGCAAGGCTCCCATATGAGGCCCAACCCCTGTGTTCTTTTAGTACCATCCAAGAAATATAGACAATAAGAAATTCAAAAATCTATATCTAATTATGAATGATATCCAGCTACCTGGAATTAAATATATATCTAATCACATAAAGGCACTATAGCTAATCTATACAGGTTGACCTCCAAGTCATAATTAGAATTGGCACGCCTGCTTTCCAAATATGGCTTGATGTATGGCAAGCGGAGTAGTGTTGGAAGTGGTAGGAAATAAGTACCTTTTTGCATAAAGATGCTGCAGCCACTTTATATAGGTTTGCCTCCAAGTCACAAAAAGGATTTGGTACACTCATGCTTTAAGTGTGGCAGAAGTGTCCTATAGATAAAGTTCTTATTGGTTTTCTTAATGGTGCTGGAACCTAACCTTGTACAACAGACCTATATTATCAGAGAAATGAGTGAGAAACTTCCATTGTCGTTACCAGCTCATGTTGCGGAAGTAACTAAAATCCCTAATTATCATGTATTACCCTACTAAGTTCCCTAATTACCAACATGACACCTGTAACTAACCTAGCTTATTTGCTAATTGCATTGGTATTGGCTACCATTTTACTTTGGATACTGTGGGATGCAACTTCTTGGATACTTTCAAATAATAATAGTTGTACAGAGATTTCTTGGGCATATCTAGTCTAACCGCTAATCGATAAACAACACCGGGTTTGATAATGATAACTATGTTGATCTTTTGAAGGGGGTAAGCTATCCATTCTTTTTCTGAGGAACTATGGAAGAAAAAAAAATTCCTAAAACCCATATTCTAAGAAAGGTTACCGTTTCTTAATATGGTCCTTGAGAAAAGGGTATCAACTGGCCAGAAAAGTGATGTTATGAAGATGGAGTTTTCAAAAGAGAAAGAGGCCTAGGAAGAAAAACCTTCAGGGAAAAGGAAAAAACCTAGCTTCGACAGAAAAAAAAGGGAAAAAAGGAAGGAAGAGGTAAAAGTAAAAAGAAAGAGTATATAGAAGAAAGAAGAGAAGATATGAGAAAAGAAATAAAGAGGTATGGGGAGGGGGCATAGAGAAAAGGAAAAAGAAAAGACTAAGAAAAAGTAAACAACTTAAAAAATTCCTAAAAAGGAAATTTTCGAGTGTAGAAAGGGAGTAGAAAAGAGTTTTTAAAAAAAACTAATATTAATTTTATAAAATTATTAATTATATATATATATATATTTATGATCAAACAAGTATTTATAAAGTTTAAAAACTCTTTTCCACTCCCCTCCCTACACTTAAAAATTTCCTTTTTAGGAAATTTTTAAGTTATTTTCTTTTTTTCTTCATTTTTCCTCTTTTCCCAATACTATTTTTCTTTCCTATTACTCTTTTCTTCCCTTTTTCTTTGTTTCTCTCTTCTCTTCTACAAACTTTTCTTTTACATATACCCTCTTCCTTTTCTTTTTTTCCCTTTATCTGCCAAAGTTAAGTTTTTTTCTTCTCTCTGAAGTTTTTCCTCTCTAGGTCTTTCTCTTTCTTAAAAGTTATCACTCTTTATCTCATCACCCCTCTGGCCAGTTGACTCCCTTCTCTCAAGAACCATATTAAGAAGTAGTAACTTCTTTTATGTTGTGGACCTTAAGAAGTTTCTTGCTTCTATGATTTTTTAGAAAAAAAATGGATAGTTTATTCCCTTCAAAAGATCAGTATAATCATCATTACCATATTTGATATTGTTTACTTGTTAATGGTTAGACTAGATACATCTAAAAAGTCATTATACAACTATTGTTATCTGAACCCCGGGAAGTTGCACACCACTGTATCCAGTAATATGGCAGCCAATGCCAGTGTAAATTTCTACAAGTAATAGGCTAGTATCTAAAATACCTAGTAAGATGACACATGATGACCAGAGATTCTAATTACCTTCATAAACAGAGCTGATGTCGACAACAGAAGTTTCTCGATCACCTCTCGACAATATAGGTCTATGTGCATGGTTAGGTAACAATATCTTTAAGAAATTCCAATTCAATTCTATCCATTGAATACTTTTGCCACACTTGAAAATAAATATGCCAAACTCTTTATATGACTTGGAGGTCAACCTGTGAAAAGTGGCTGCAGCTAAAGATAGGTTCCTAAATTAAAGGCAAGGATATAATTCAAATGTCCCTCACTATTAAAAAAGTTTTTTTTTAAATATAAAATCAAAAAAAAACTATCTACAAAGGTTTTTTGCAATTTAGGACACTTGATTCAAGTGTTTTTTAAATTATGTTCCTATTAAAGTAATGAATAAATAATTATGTCCCTTTAAAAGGGACATAATTGATCTGTAAAATTTTATATGTTAAATAGTTTAGGGACCCATCCTTAGCTGCAGCATCTTTATATAAAGAAAAAAACTAACTCTTTTCTTCTTTACTTTTCTGCCTGTCATACATCAAGCCAACTTTGGAAAGCAAGTATGCCAAATCCCATTCATGACTTGGAGGCCAACCTGTATACTTGACTATAACACCTTCATATATAGTATTTGAGTATTTCTAATCCTTTCTAGGCACCTGTTTGATTATTAAGTCTAGATTTTAATATTACATTTTACTAGTATTTAGGTAGGTTTATAGGACAATACTGGAATGGTCGAGACCATTTTTGTTGCATCTTACATTAGACTCTTCTTAGTAAAAAGAGATATATATTAGCTTTTAGATTTATAATATTATTATACAGCAATCTTTTATAAATAATAAAAATACTAATTGCCATTCTAGTATTAAAAAAAAAAAGTATTTATAAAGTTTATTTAATATTAATATAAAATACATATTGATTTAATAACTTTTATATACAAACTTTTTAAATATATTACTTAAATACCTATTTTAGATAAAACTATTTTTAGATATGATCTTGGAAATAAATAAAATTGTTTATTTTTATATACTTGCTTCAAAATATATTTTAAAGTTATTGCTTACAATTTATTATTATAGATAAAATTATTAATTATATATTAAATTAGATATTCTTTAAATATGATTACTTTAAAAAACTCTTTTCACTAATCCTTTTGCCAACCCCAAAAACAGACATTTTCAAAAGATTTTTTGTCTTTATGATAATAAAGTCTATACACTTTCCTTAAAAACAATACTGGTTTTAACCAGCC